TGTGTGTGTGTGTGTGTGTGTGTGTGTGTGTGTGTGTGTGTGTGTGTTTTATATCGTTGTATCGTTGTATCTCTGGTGTGTTAAACATGCACCTTGCCCTGCCGTCCAGAGGCCAGCAACGTGGCAGCTTTGTCTTTATGGGTCTGATTTGATTGACTTTTACCTCAGAATATAGTTACTGATTGTTTCCCCACATCCTCTGAACCTTTAAAACAATACTAGAAGAGATGCCTTCATAGGGAAGTGAACAGGTCATTCTGTAAACTAGAGATAAAGATACGTGTCTCTGCAGAGCTGGTGTTTAACTGACAACATGCGAAGGTGTTGCAATTGATAACTTTACAAAGACACTAATCTGTGTTTCTTAATGGTGTCATTATACATAATAACTTCATCAGGTCTCTATTCGGTAATAAAAACGCCCTGCTCAGATTGTGACGTTCCTTGTTGTTTATGTATTACTACATAAAGGGGATTTATTGCTATAAGCTGGAAATGATATGTACTGATAATGTACTGAATCATAAGTCTGATTGGGATTACTGTAGCCATGTTGTTCATTTATTCATTTCATCATCATGTTAAAGTACTATTATCTAGATGGCTGTGAGGTATTTTCCTGTGTCACATGTTCTCTACAATGTCCTGTCACAGCTTCTTGCTTGATTCAAATGTTTTCAATGCAAAGAGTATTTTGTAACTCAGTTGCACAGTCAGCATTATCCTGCAGTCAGTGTGTGTGTGTGTGTTTCTGTCTTCCAACCAGAAGTCCAGCTCTCTTGCAGGAGTTCCGATCTCTGGGGTAAGTGTTAGCATGTGTGTAACTTGTTCAGAATAGTGACGTCTGTCTTTCTTCAGTGTGGTGGTGAAGGGTCCACGTGGCTCTCAGCAGCCTGCCAGTATGAGTCCGTCACAGGCATGTTGTGTCGATGCACGTCGGCCTCAATCTAACAACAAGCTGCACAGCTCAAATGGGTTTGATGCTCACGGCACACTACGTCATTTACTATTTACTTTAGTGTAGCTTATTATATGTTTATATATCTTATTCTCATATATTTCTGTTGTATTTCTTGTTTTTAGTTGCTGCTGTAGTTTAATGTACAATGTCCCGTTTAGTTCATATCTTGGTCAACCTAATTTTAAAAAGTTTTATCAGCTGCTATATTGTCAATGGATGAGAAACATCTTATCAAACTCCAGTTTCTCGTTAAAGCTTGATTTATTGTGTGTGAGTGAGTGAGTGAGTGAGTGAGTGAGTGAGTGACGCAGACAATTCATACGTGGCCCTCTTACCTGCAACCGTGTTTCTCTCAGTGTCTTGGCGACCAGTCGGCTGCTCTGGTTGGTCAGATGTGCTTCCAGGAAGGCCAGGCCAAAAACACGTAAGCCTTCCAGCGGGTCTTCATTTTACCTCCTGGTTGCAGTTAGCTGCTACACTGGTGTTTCATCTTCCGCCCTGTTGGTGTTGAAACAAGATGCATAACATGAAAGACAAGTCAGATGCATATAAATGCCTACATAACATTACAGACAGTCACCGGACAAACGATGGGGTTCAGTGGTTGTTCGGTATTTTTAGAAACTCTCCAAGAGCAGTCGAAGAGAAAGTTAGCAGGTAGCGTGACAGTGGTCTAGTATGTATGTAAACACCCTCAACCAGAATAATATGTAATGTGATTAAGTCATGACACTTAGTGTTTTATGCATTATTATATTATAAATAATGATATAACAGAGTATATAATAATACTAACAGAGACTTGTGAATATCTCCATCATTCAGAGTCACTTCTAAATGACTGATGTCACTTTTTCTTCTCTTGGTCTTGAAGGATGTCATCAGTTATTAAATCACCGGTCTGTAATCCGTCGTAACCTTTTTGTTTTTTCATCCTTGTGTGAAGGTATGGGACCGGCTGCTTCCTGCTCAGAAATACAGGGACCAAGGTAAGACGAGAGGAAAATAACACATGGGTGTAACATTCTGACTGACATTCTGTCGTGGTGCTACCTCACACTCTGTATAAGGTGTTCACTTGTCTCTCTGTTAGCCTCTGATGTCAGACCACGGCCTGCTGACCACAGTTGCCTACAAACTGGGAAAAGACGAGCCCGCCTGCTATGCACTCGAGGTGTGTGAACACCTCCTCCTCAGTGCAGTAATGTCCTCCGTTGTGCACCTCCCTGGCCTGCTACTCTCATGTGATGTGGGTTCCATGTTTTTCTGTCTTCTCCCAGGGCTCCGTGGCCATCGGAGGGGCAGTGGTGCGGTGGCTGAAGGACAACCTGGGCATCGTGCAGTCTTCCTCAGAGATCGGTACTTACACAGCAGCATCTTATCTCATCTAACACGAAATTCATGAAACATTCAAAAGCAAATTCCTAGTTGCTTTTTGATTATATCACATAGAAAAGAAGACATAATAACTAATAACTCATGCTCCTGTGTTTTCTCAGAGAAGCTAGCAGCTGCAGCCGGCACGTCTTACGGCTGTTACTTTGTGCCGGCCTTCTCCGGCCTCTACGCCCCGTACTGGGAGCCCAGTGCAAGAGGGTGAGCCAGTCAGCTGTTCAAACACACGTCTGAACTATCAATTAATTCCACCCCGAAATAAGGAGAAATGTTCTGATAGGCGATAACATTCTTTTTTTGTGGTGGTGTTGACTAAAATCCTGTTTTCTTACAGGTGAGTTTAATTTCTCCATGCAATCTAAACACACAGTACTAGTGCCAAATATATTGAAGCATCGGTAACAATCTAAAATTGTATGAGCTCACTTTTTCCACGAGGTATCGAAAATGATATCGATATTTTTCAAGTTATTGTAACAAAGTTAGAAATTCCAGTATCATGACAACACTGCAAGGTACTTGGATTGTGTGTTATCAGGTTATGCAACATTACTGTCATGTCTTCATTTTGGCTAGCAATGTATTTTAATCGCACTAATCTGCCGCGTTGTCTTCTGAAGAACATGTTGTGATGCCTCTTGTGGCCAAAATGAGTATTACAACAATGAACACTTGATATTTTTACTCGCCTATTTACCGAATACAAAATAAAGAACTTCTTCTGGCAAAACCTTTCTTGAATGATAAACAAAGCAATTTAGATCAGACTTTATTTTTCTCACTGGCCTCTCAGGGCTTCCGTAGTTATTTGTTTGACTCCAGAGAGTTCGTTTTCTTGTATAGTTTCTTCCCCAGAGAGTTCAACAAACTGCCTTAATAACAACACTATATAGTTTGTGTATTTAACTATTTCCTCTGTTTGTTTTCCAGCATCATCTGTGGGCTCACTCAGTTCACCAACAGGAACCACTTGGCTTTTGCTGCCCTCGAGGCCGTTTGCTTTCAGACCAGAGAGGTGAGCAGTGTCTCCTCTCTGCTCCTCCACCTCCCTTATGTCTGGTTCTTCTTCTTGCTTTGAGAACGGCACAACACAAAGGCTTATTGTACAGTGATACTAGTACACGTGTGGCGTGTAATTCCTTAATACAAATACCGAAGCAGCAACTTTATCTTAGCAACAGTTATGTTGGGGGTAAAAGGCTGTGGCTGTGATTAAGCGAGCGTCACTCTCTGTGTCAGATCCTTGATGCGATGAACCAGGACAGCGGCATCCCTCTGACACAGCTGCAGGTGGATGGAGGCATGACCTCCAACAGGTTACTGATGCAGCTGCAGGCCGACATCCTCTGCATCCCCGTAGGTAAGAGGCTTCTGCTACACTCATACATACACATACCATTAACGTCAGTTATTTTAGAGACGGTAATATTCATGCAGAGATGCAATCCAAACCGCAGATCAAATATCAGGTGAATGTAACAATGTAACATGTTTCTCTGACTTGTGTGTAAGGTCTCTGGTGTTGGGTAAAGTTGTATAAAGGCTTTAGTGTCTCCAGAGGCAGCTGTGTACAGGCTGATGAATGTCCTCACTTGAGTCTGCCTCCATTGGTGTTGAAGACTACACGCTTGAAAGAAAAGGATCAGAGTTCAGAAGAGTTAGGCCCGACCTCTGTAGCTCGCTCTCTGTTACAGGCTAGCGGCTCGAGGCTACATTAGTCGCTCCTAGCACACTAAATCTCTGACCCAACTGTCGAGAGTCGACTTGCATTGTGGGTAATGTTGGTTCCAGGGTTTGACAAGTAGGACGAGGTGTGGATGAAAAAATGATAAGGCACAGTAAAGAGAAGGATGCGAGCTCATATAAATATTTAACACCAATCATTTTAATTTGCCTTAAATCATACTGAAAATATAAAATTGAGTAGTCACATTTGTGATAACAAATGTTCATTCAACGTTAGCTCTGACCGGTTCAATACAGTCATGTGATGCAGAGAAGACTTATTGCTTGAGTTTACTTCAGTGGGAACAGTCTGCTGGTGATGACATACACATACTAACTGTATAGTTCATTTAGAAGGCAGCATGCAGATTTGAATCCTTTTCTTAACTGTCCACAATGTGCAAAGCTAAATCAGTGGAGCACATTCAACTGAAATGTTGTGGCAGCATGAACAGCTTCACTAAAGTCTCTCCTGCTTCAAACAATAACCTTTAAAGTTCAGAAATCTGTTTTTGTCAAACTGAGTAACCATTGACTAAACGTGGACTTTAGACCTCTCTGTCCTCCTGAAATTTACCCCATTTAAAAGAAACACAGACACACACACAAACGTTGACTTCGATGTACTACAGTACATCAAATGAACTGGTGTGTACATAACTGGGTACCTAATGAATATTACCATGTGTACCCATGAACTCCAGGAGAAACTGAATTGACATTACAACGTCCAATACTTGTGGACACCAGGATACATCTGCTGCTTTCAACATCGTGGCTGATTATTGCAGGGCCTCAGGGGAAGATTGTGTTACCTGCCAAGTAAAATATACATTTAAACATTGTCCCTCCCTGAAGATCAGTCACATGACAACGTTTTTGCATTTCAGTCACTTTAAATGTTTAAATTGCCTAATTTGACGTTTTTTGTGTGTGTGTGTGTGTGTGTGTGTGTGTGTGTGTGTGTCTGGCTCGTGTTGGTCCAGTGCTACCCACCATGTCAGAGACCACGGCTCTGGGTGCAGCCATGGCGGCGGGGGCAGCAGAGGGGGTGGGCGTGTGGAGCCTGAGCCCCAGTCATCTACCGCACGCCACGTCTGAGACATACGAGCCTCAGATCAACACTGAAGGTAAGAGACTCGGAGGAAGAGTGTGCAGAAGCAGCTGGTACTGAGCGTGTGATTCTCTAAGGTCGATACTGTGACACCTCATTTGCTGCCATCTAGTGGATGCTCCATTCATGACACTGGGGACTTGAGAAATCTTAAAAAAGGGGCCATTATATCCCATCACTAACCCGTCCGTCTGTCCATCCCATGTCTGTCCGTCTGTCTCTCTGTCTATCCTCTGTCTGTCTCTCTGTCTATCCCCTGTCTGTCTCTCTGTCTATCCCCT